CAACTAAAGTATACAAACATGCTGTCAAACAAATATTTAACAATCTGTTTGTGTTACTAAATATTTTAATTCATAAAGTTCCAACAAAACCTTGGCTTCAGAAAGTAATTCATGTCACATTAGATTTTTTTTTAAAATATATTATTGGATTCAAGCTCTTACCATAAAATTATACCAGACCCAGAGCTGTGTAAAAGGTATTGTAAAAATTAGCTTAATAACTAACACAAAAAATAAGTTCAAAACAAGAATTCTGCTCATAAATTGCAGTTCATGTACACTTTAAACTGAAATCTACATTGTGACGAAGTGCCCTTCGCCACTTGTGCCTGGAGAGGACTGCTTGCCCGCCTCTTGCCCTGTGACTATGGCCCCTGGGATGTATTGCCCTTTAAAGACATGATTTGGGCATAATGGATTTGTGTTGTGCTGTTGGCCCTTTTAAGAACCATCTGGGGACATACTGTGGAGTTACTGGGTGGCCACCATTTCCTGTATCAGAAGCACATGGTGAGAACAATGGATGGCGGCCATTTTAACTCACAGACACTGTGTGGACTTTTCAACACGGTGCCATCTCGCCAGTATTTGGTGCACAGAGACATCGTGCGGTGGTTTTGGACTATACAGCAGGGGACACATTATACAGTGATTGTTTTTCATTTAGCCTGTATATGTTCTTCAGAATCTGCATTAAACTGTATTTTCCAAAGTACTGAACGGATCTGGGTGAATTTTGGATATGTGGTTCACCCAGATCCCCCGGTTCCAAGGATATACTTTTTTTTAATGGGGTTATTGCATGTTTTGGGGTCCCTGTGTGTTTTATGAAACTGTATAATTTCTGGCCAGCAGATAATTGAGCTTTGTGTATTGTAGAAACTCAATTATCTAGCCTGGCCCAGAGGAGGAGTTTTGTGTTGCATAAATTGTGAGTTCTGTGTGCCAGTAAATTAGTCTTGTTCCAGCATTAAGCCTTGGCTCATGTTTGGGGGAAGGGATACCTACACTCTGGGGATTGCTATAATCACTATACTCCCCAGGGTATGATCACTAAGTTCTGCTAAGAGCTTGTTCCTGTTCCTGTTCTTGCTCTCTGGGGAAAGAGAGGTTCACCCACTGGAAGCTGGATCCTGGCCTTGGGTCCAGGGTGGGTGGAGACAGCAGAGACCCCGGCGCAGTTGCATCGCTGGAAGTGGGGTCTGCAGTGCTGATGGTGTCGGTTGGAGTGCTTGGAGTCCTCAGCGAGCACTAGGAGCATCGATTGGCGGAGGTACTCAGTCGGAGTGCCAGCGTTCCGTCACATACATGCTTATGCAATTAATTTTTTTTAAGTTTTAAATATATTGGTATGAAATAAATTGTTAGTGATTATTTATGTATTTGTTGCTTATCTCAGAACACAATTTTAACAACTGATTTTCATCAGGATGGCAGTTATAGGTAAAGGATTAGGCCTAACAAAAGAAAATGGATTCCTACAGTAGAAGCATGAACTTTTAACAAATGGATGAGAAAATCTGCAAATATCCTCCACTAAAATTTTATTTATTGTAATTAAACTAATTAAAGCAGTGATTGTAAACAGGTAGCACATTTGTTTGGGGTGCTTAATGCAAAATTCAAAATGTTTATAATTTTATGTATTGCTCAAACCTAGATAGACAGCTCTGTATAAAATGATGTCATATTCCGTTTGTGTTTCCTTTAAGCAGAATGAGGCAGAACATCAGCTTAAAGGGAATGTCGCTGAGGTAGGCTTAAATGAAAATAATGCAACAAGATGTCTTTAAGTGCTGCTCTAAATTAGATGTTAGTTGATTTGTGTCCATGTTCAACAAATCACATTTCACAGTATCTCCATGTCTCCCAGTGTCTCTAAGTGTTTTTCAGTATTTCCCAGTGTCTCCCAGTCTCTCAGTGTCCCCATGTCTCCATCTCTCCCTGTGTCCCCACCTCACCCTGTGTCCTCATCTCTCCCTGTGTCCCCATGTCTCCCTGTGTCCCCATGTCCCCCAGTATACCCATGTCTCCCAGTATCTCAATGTCTTCCAATCTCCCCATCTCTCCAAGTATCTCTCCCAGTATCCCCAACTCCCCCAGTATCATCATATCCACCAGTATCCCCATGTCTCCCAGTGTCACCATCTCTGCCAGTGTCCCCAATATCCCCATCTCTCCCAGTGTCCCCATCTCTCCCAGCATCCCCGTGTCTCCCAGTGTCCCCATGTCCTCTAGTGCTCTCATTTCTCCCAGTTTCTTTATGTCTCTCAGTGTTACCATGTCTCCCTGTGTCCCTGTCTCCCACAGTATCTACATCTCTTCCAGTGTCCCCATCTCCCCAAGTAGTCCCATCTATCCCAGTATCCCCATGTCTCAGTGTCCCCATGCCTTCCATTATCCCCATGTCTCCCAGTGTCCATTTCCAGTATCCCTGTCTCTCTCAATTTTCCCATCTCTCCCAGTATCCCATCTCTTCCAGTGTCCCAATGTCTCCCAGTGTCCCAATGTCCTGCAGTATACCAATGTCTCGCAGTGTCCCCATGTCTCACAGTGTCCCCCCTGCAGCCTGCGTGCCACTTGTCTCCTGCCATCCCTCATTTAACTGATCTGTTGGCTGGACTCTCTGTGCAGAGCTGCAGCCACATGGATTCATCAAGTAGAGAGAGTCAGGGAGAAGATGTAACTTCCTATCCTACCTCTTTCCAAACACACAGCGAACCCTACTAGCAGGTGCCCGTCTTGCAGGCTAATATCAGTTTATACAGACAAAAATACCGGCATTTGTTTAAATGGTATTATGGCAATGCCGGCACTGGCCAGGAAGCCTCAAATAACGTCTGTGCCCACAAAATACCAGCCAGGTGGGAACCCTAAGTGCTACTGGTGGCCCGCATTTCTCTTGCAACCCACCAGGCTCTTGTTTTGTGTATTTTTAAACATCATACATGTTGCAGTGTAAGCTAATGTCATGAGGCCTCCAGGTTTTTCTCTCCAACTCAGCCACGGTTGAACTGTTATACATGAATTCATTGGTCATATGTTTTCATGCATCAGAACATACTACTCAATAGTTTTAAGTTTACATTTGTTGTATCTGAAGCTTATGAATAGTTTTAAATAGGGGTGCCCAAAATGTAAATCCCCTGATGTTTTAGAACTGCAACGTCCATGATGTTTTGCAATTAGAAAAATGTTATTTCTATTGGGTCTGTGTCTCACCTACTCTTGTGTTTCAATTGTTCTAAATTATGAATAAAGATATTGAAGAAATGACAGACTCTCTATAGTGTGTTACTTCCAAGTTAAATTGATGTGACCAAATACTTTGCAAATTAGAAAAGTGCAGCCATTGTTTGCAATATTACTCATAGATTGTTATTAATACAAATTACCTGTCATAATCTCTATAAGCAATGAAACAAACTATTATGTTTTGCAATATTAAAAGGTTTTAATTTTTTTAATGTAGAAGCGGTGTAGGTGTTTCTGATTATTTCACTTCAATAGAGACAATTTCTATAAAGCTATAAAAAATTAAATGTCACTTGTGCATTGAAATTGTAAAATGTGGCATGTTAGGAACAATATCTCTCAGTCACAAACTTTGAGGCATATTTTATATTTTTAAAAGTATAATGTATACTGGAGACAGGTAATCTGACACTGATCAGTACCACCCACAGAATAACAGAAGACAGTGATGCCATCTAGTGGCATAATGTATGCAAGGCTGACAATGAATGCAGTGTTTTTGTTCAAACTGTTTATCCTCATAACACACTGTGGGTGTCATGGCACAGTAATATGTGCCAGAGTCAGAGGTTCTTGCATTGTTGATGATGAGAGGGAATTGTTTGTTTGCCCTGTCATATTTGTGGAAAAATCGACCCTTTACATCTTTAATCAGTTCTTCTTCTTTTGAAAGATCCCAAAGGAGAAAATGAGGTGCTTGACCAGGTTTCTGGATATACCAATACATATTAGTAGCTGTGACATCGGTAATGCATGATAAAGTGGCACCCGTTCCTTCTTCAATTGTCTCTTCAGGGGGTGACTGGGTGACAATATCCCCGATAACTAAATCTGTAAAAATAAAAAAGCATCAGTAAATGCACAATTGCAATGTTACATTGTGGCACATCCACTTTCCAGTTAACAACTTATTATTATGTCTCCATACTTGCTAGTATTTTTTTAGAATTTTTGCTCTAAAAATAAAAATAAATTCTTACTTATATAAATTGTTGCAACAAGAAGATATAACATTATGCTGCTGCACATTTTTGTTTGTTGAAGCTTCTCTTCATAATGCAGAGTTTTCTACCGGAATCAGAACTTGAATATACCACAGGGGGCGGGACTTGTGGGTAGGGTGAGGACAAGGGTATAAAAAGTATTTTAGAAACAGCTGCAGATATATAGGACACACACACACACGTATGTTTAATAAATAAGACAACTTGCACTAAGAATGAATACATTGAAACATTAGAAATATATTTGTAAATTTTCAAATCTGTGAGCAATGTCATTTTTTAAATTGTGGCAAGTGTGAACCTATCTTCGTAATCACTGAAGATAAGTTAAATTGAGAAAGTGCAAAAACCTAGATGATCAAATATTACAAAAAATTGCAAGTACCTAGAGATGATCTGGATAATAGACACGTGCATTCGTTATAGGACGCATATAATTTCATCTGAATTTTTCATCAGAATTTTTCTTATTCGTTTACTAGAACATAAACAAAAGTCCTACATACGAATTATATACGAAACGAAAGGGCAAATGCCGAATGCATTACCTTTTCGTTTCAGTTCTATCGTTTAAAGCGGCACTATCATGGTCGCATCCGTATTTTTATTTAACCTCCATCCCAACTACACTACATCTAATAGCTCCCTGTGATAATTGTGATAAAATCCAATTAACTAATTAAGAATGATTGATTGATCACTAATGAGCAAATTAATCTATAATAGATAGTTAAGATGGCGCTTGGCTTAAACTGTGTCGCACTAAGAAATTCAACTTGTGTCGCACTAAGAAATTCAGTTATGATGACATTGCATAAAATGCTTAAACTGTGTCGCACTAAGAAATTCAACATTGCCTGGAATATTCCATAGCATGTCTGGCCAATATCCAAAAAGGCCTACTACTGAACAGAGGGAATTGGTGCCAACAAATGTATGGAGAGATAAGAGTAGGGACATAGATAGATAAGATACCGCATGTATCTGGCATGAGCCTTGGGTGGTCACGACTGGCCTGATCAACCATACTGATGACCTAATGCGCATGACAAGATACATGCTGGGCTGCACTGATAAGAAATCTTGGAAAAGTTACAAACTTGCTAAAAGGTATAAAAGACGGAGAAACTTGGCACTCAGGGGGAGAACTACCCACCTGTAATGCGGACGCGTGTTGCTGGTCTCTGCTGTTCCCAGAGAGGGTCCCTCCAAGCTGACTGCCAGAGTTCCCCCAGTCACGTGCAGTGAGGACACAACCAAGCCCCTCTAATGGTGATGTATACTTAAGCTGACATATCTAGATACTAAGCTGTTTTGAAGTGAATGCATGCAACTACTTAATGAGAGTTAAGCTTACTCTGCATTGGGTCCCCTTGTGGACAATAAAGTGTGGTGTGAATTCTTATCTGCAACTTGGTCTCTGTGTGGTTTCTTTTTCCTATAGCCCAAGACACTCATCTCGAACTGGGTTGTGTGCCCGCCAATATCGTTATAAACCTTATTAGGTAATTGATTATTGCTTTTTGGATATTGGTGCTTCATGAATTTAATGATTAGGCACAACACTCCCTTAGTTAGCCCCAAACTCTGCTAGTTAGTCCCCCATATTACATAGAACATAGAACATAGAATGTGACGGCAGATAAGAACCATTCGGCCCATCTAGTCTGCCCAATTTTCTAAATACTTTTATTAGTCCCTGGCCTTATCTTATAGTTAGGATAGCCTTATGCCTATCCCATGCATGCTTAAACTCCTTTACTGTGTTGACCTCTACCACTTCAGCAGGAAGGCTATTCCATGCATCCACTACCCTCTCAATAAAGTAATACCTCCTGATATTATTTTTAAACTTTTGTCCCTCTAATTTAAGACTATGTCCTCTTGTTGTGTTAGTTTTTCTTCTTTTAAATATAGTCTCCTCCTTTACTGTGTTGATTCCCTTTATGTATTTAAATGTTTCTATCATATCCCCCCTGTCTCGTCTTTCCTCCAAGCTATACATATTAAGATCCTTTAACCTTTCCTGGTAAGTTTTATCCTGCAATCCATGAACCAGTTTAGTAGCCCTTCTCTGAACCCTCTCTAAGGTATCAATATCCTTCTGAAGATACAGACTCCAGTACTGCGTACAATACTCCAAGTTGGGTCTCACCAGTGTTCTGTACAATGGCATGAGTGTGACGGAACGCTGGCAATCCGACTGAGTACCTCCGCCAATCGATGCTCCTAGTGCTCGCTGAGGACTCCAAGCACTGCAACCGACACCATCAGCACTGCAGACCCCACTTCCAGCGATGCAACTGCGCCGGGGTCTCTGCTGTCTCCACCCACCCTGGACCCAAGGCCAGGATCCAGCTTCCAGTGGGTGAACCTCTCTTTCCCCAGAGAGCAGGAACAGGAACAAGCTCTTAGCAGAACTTGATCATACCCTGGGGAGTATAGTGATTATAGCAATCCTCAGAGTGTATTTCTCCAATCCCCCAAACATGAGCCAAGGCTTAATTCTGGAACAAGACTGATTTACTGGCACACAGAACTCACAATTTATGCAACACAAAACTCCTCCTCTGGGCCAGGCTAGATAATTGAGTTTCTACAATACACAAAGCTCAATTATCTGCTGGCCAGAAATAATACAGTTTCATAAAACACACAGGGACCCCAAAACATGCAATAACCCCATAAAAAGTATATCCTTGGAACCTGGGGATCTGGGTGAACCACATATCCAAAATTCACCCAGATCCGTTCAGTTCTTTGGAAAATACAGTTGAATGCAGATTCTGCAGAACATATACAGGCTAAATGAAAAACAATCACTGTATAATGTGTCCCCTGCTGTATAGTCCAAAACCACCGCACGATGTCTCTGTGCAACAAATACTGGCGAGATGGCACCGTGTTGAAAAGTCCAAACAGTGTCTGTGAGTTAAAATGGCCGCCATCCATTGTTCTCACCATGTGCTTCTGATACAGGAAATGGTGGCCACCCAGTAACTCCACAGTATGTCCCCAGATGGTTCTTAAAGGGCCAGCAGCAGCACAACACAAATCCATTATGCCCAAATCATGTCTTTAAAGGGCAATACATCCCAGGGGCCATAGTCACAGGGCAAGAGGCGGGCAAGCAGTCCTCTCCAGGCACAAGTGGCGAAGGGCACTTCGTCACACATCTTCCCTTTGGGGGAAGACTAAACAGGTACCTGACCTTCTGCCGGTCAGTACCTAGATTAGTCGGGCAGCCCACCCACAAAGAAAAATACGCAGAGTAACCCCCCCACAATAAATGGTACTGGCCTGTAGGTTCACGTTTGTAGTGGGACAGCGCAGCACTCTCGGTCTCCCTGGTGCAGCTAGGCAAACTGCTGGTGTTGCTTGGGGGGCAGAGGCCAGCGGCGCTCTGCCCTGCTGCCAGCTCTTCCATTGGGGTAACCCGTGGTAAGTCAGGCTCTGATACAGGGGAAAAGGGGGGGCAGAGGCTAACAAAGCTCTTCCCAGATGCCAGCTCTTCTGCTAGGAGGGGGTCAGTGGGTATCGCAGGCTCATCCACTGCCCCCAGGACCCGGTTGGGATGTAGCTGGGGAGGGGAAGTTTCGCTTACCTCCTCCTCCTGGCATCCCTGCGGGTTGGTTGGGGATCTGGTCGCCCGTCCAGCCTCCCTGTAGGACTGGCACAGAGACCGCGGTCCCATCTGCGCCAGTGTGGTTAGGTTTGTCTTCCCCCTCTCCTGGTATCTCTGGCTGCTGTTGGAGGGGGAGGCTGGTTGCCCCCACTCCCCAGGACGCTGGTTGCTGTAAGGTGGAGGGATTGACCATCACCTCCTCCTGGAACTCAGGCCGCCGCTGGGGAGAGAGACCAGTTGTCTCCTCTCCCTGTATATTATACTGCCGCTGGGGACCTAGGCTGACTGCCCAGCATCCCTGTAGGGCCGGCAGAGAGACTTCGGTCCCATCTCCGCTTGCCATCTCTGTGTGTCCCCAGGACAAGTCTATGATGTCGCCCACCTCCGGCTGCTGTTGGAGAGGGAGGCCGGTTGCCTCCCCTCCCCAGGACGCTGGTTGCTGTACGGGGGAGGGATCTACCATCACCTCCTCCTGGAACTCAGGCCACCGCTGGGGAGAGAGACCGGTTGTCTCTTCCCTCTGTACGGTGCACTGCCGCTGGGATGGGAGGTCGCTGCTCTCCTCTCCCTGTAACTCACTCTGTCGCTGGAGACGGGGTGTCAATACCCCCAAACTCCACAGTTGGTACTCGAAGTTCCGTGCGTCTTGGTTCTCAGCACTCAACATGCGCATCACTTGATGGACCACCTCATCTGAAGGGTTTGGGCCAAACCAGACCAGCCGCGCCTTTACTTCCTTCATGAAATCAGCACCCTCATAGCACTGTGACAGGCGGATTTGCAATTCACTGGCTGCTGTCTAGGGTCTTGCTAGCTCCATGTTGCTGTAGGTAGGGACGCTGCGCAGAGGCTAGCGTTGCCCTCAATTATAAATCCGTAACTCCACACGTTACCGGTGTCTCCGAGCTGCTGGTCCTCGCACTAGGACGCCATCCCGCCGCTGCCACCAAATGTGTCGGAACGCTGGCACTCCGACTGAGTACCTCCGCCAATCTATGCTCCTAGTGCTCGCTGAGGACTCCAAGCACTCCAACCGACACCATCAGCACTGCAGACCCCACTTCCAGCGATGCAACTGCGCCGGGGTCTCTGCTGTCTCCACCCACCCTGGACCCAAGGCCAGGATCCAGCTTCCAGTGGGTGAACCTCTCTTTCCCCAGAGAGCAGGAACAGGAACAAGCTCTTAGCAGAACTTAGTGATCATACCCTGGGGAGTATAGTGATTATAGCAATCCCCAGAGTGTATTTCTCCAATCCCCCAAACATGAGCCAAGGCTTAATTCTGGAACAAGACTGATTTACTGGCACACAGAACTCACAATTTATGCAACACAAAACTCCTCCTCTGGGCCAGGCTAGATAATTGAGTTTCTACAATACACAAAGCTCAATTATCTGCTGGCCAGAAATAATACAGTTTCATAAAACACACAGGGACCCCAAAACATGCAATAACCCCATAAAAAGTATATCCTTGGAACCGGGGGATCTGGGTGAACCACATATCCCAAATTCACCCAGATCCGTTCAGTACTTTGGAAAATACAGTTGAATGCAGATTCTGCAGAACATATACAGGCTAAATGAAAAACAATCACTGTATAATGTGTCCCCTGCTGTATAGTCCAAAACCACCGCACGATGTGTCTGTGCAACAAATACTGGCGAGATGGCACCGTGTTGAAAAGTCCAACAGTGTCTGTGAGTTAAAATGGCCGCCATCCATTGTTCTCACCATGTGCTTCTGATACAGGAAATGGTGGCCACCCAGTAACTCCACAGTATGTCCCCAGATGGTTCTTAGAGGGCCAGCAGCAGCACAACACAAATCCATTATGCCCAAATCATGTCTTTAAAGGGCAATACATCCCAGGGGCCATAGTCACAGGGCAAGAGGCGGGCAAGCAGTCCTCTCCAGGCACAAGTGGCGAAGGGCACTTCGTCACACATCTTCCCTTTGGGGGGAAGACTAAACAGGTACCTGACCTTCTGCCGGTCAGTACCTAGATTAGTCGGGCAGCCCACCCACAAAGAAAAATACGCAGAGTAACCCCCCCACAATAAATGGTACTGGCCTGTAGGTTCAAGTTTGTAGTGGGACAGCGCAGCACTCTCGGTCTCCCTGGTGCAGCTAGGCAAACTGCTGGTGTTGCTTGGGGGGCAGAGGCCAGCGGCGCTCTGCCCTGCTGCCAGCTCTTCCACTGGGGTAACCCGTGGTAAGTCAGGCTCTGATACAGGGGAAAAGGGGGGGCAGAGGCTAACAAAGCTCTTCCCAGATGCCAGCTCTTCTGCTGGGAGGGGGTCAGTGGGTATCGCAGGCTCATCCACTGCCCCCAGGACCCGGTTGGGATGTAGCTGGGGAGGGGAAGTTTCGCTTACCTCCTCCTCCTGGCATCCCTGCGGGGTTGGTTGGGGATCTGGACCGCCCGTCCAGCCTCCCTGTAGGACTGGCACAGAGACCGCGGTCCCATCTGCGCCAGTGTGGTTAGGTTTGTCTTCCCCCTCTCCCGGTATCTCTGGCTGCTGTTGGAGGGGGAGGCTGGTTGCCCCCACTCCCCAGGACGCTGGTTGCTGTAAGGTGGAGGGATTGACCATCACCTCCTCCTGGAACTCAGGCCGGCGCTGGGGAGAGAGACCAGTTGTCTCCTCTCCCTGTATATTATACTGCCGCTGGGGACCTAGGCTGACTGCCCAGCATCCCTGTAGGGCCGGCAGAGAGACTTCGGTCCCATCTCCGCTTGCCATCTCTGTGTGTCCCCAGGACAAGTCTATGAGGTCGCCCACCTCCGGCTGCTGTTGGAGAGGGAGGCCGGTTGCCTCCCCTCCCCAGGACGCTGGTTGCTGTACGGGGGAGGGATCTACCATCACCTCCTCCTGGAACTCAGGCCGCCGCTGGGGAGAGAGACCGGTTGTCTCTTCCCTCTGTACGGTGCACTGCCGCTGGGATGGGAGGTCGCTGCTCTCCTCTCCCTGTAACTCACTCTGTCGCTGGAGACGGGGTGTCAATACTCCCAAACTCCACAGTTGGTACTCGAAGTTCCGTGCGTCTTGGTTCTCAGCACTCAACATGCGCATCACTTGATGGACCACCTCATCTGAAGGGTTTGGGCCAAACCAGACCAGCCGCGCCTTTACTTCCTTCATGAAATCAGCACCCTCATAGCACTGTGACAGGCGGATTTGCAATTCACTGGCTGCTGTCCAGGGTCTTGCTAGCTCCATGTTGCTGTAGGTAGGGACGCTGCGCAGAGGCTAGCGTTGCCCTCAATTATAAATCCGTAACTCCACACGTTACCGGTGTCTCCGAGCTGCTGGTCCTCGCACTAGGACGCCATCCCACCGCTGCCACCAAATGTGACGGAACGCTGGCACTCCGACTGAGTACCTCCGCCAATCGATGCTCCTAGTGCTCGCTGAGGACTCCAAGCACTCCAACCGACACCATCAGCACTGCAGACCCCACTTCCAGCGATGCAACTGCGCCGGGGTCTCTGCTGTCTCCACCCACCCTGGACCCAAGGCCAGGATCCAGCTTCCAGTGGGTGAACCTCTCTTTCCCCAGAGAGCAGGAACAGGAACAAGCTCTTAGCAGAACTTAGTGATCATACCCTGGGGAGTATAGTGATTATAGCAATCCCCAGAGTGTATTTCTCCAATTCCCCCAAACATGAGCCAAGGCTTAATGCTGGAACAAGACTGATTTACTGGCACACAGAACTCACAATGTATGCAACACAAAACTACTCCTCTGGGCCAGGCAAGATAATTGAGTTTCTACAATACACAAAGCTCAATTAATTGAGTTTCTACAATACACAAAGCTCAATTATCTGCTGGCCAGAAATAATACAGTTTCATAAAACATACAGGGACCCCAAAACATGCAATAACCCCATAAAAAGTATATCCTTGGAACCGGGGGATCTGGGTGAACCACATATCCAAAATTCACCCAG